TGGAGTCTCCAGAAAATGTTTTGAGTATTAATTTAATATTTGACTATTTTGTAACCTATTTATTTTTTGTTGTGTAAATCTTCATTGTTTTGGGCATTATTTGTTTTAATATATGACAAAGATGGTTTAATCCTGTATGGGTGTGCTTGTTTAGACGGATTGGATAAGGGGAGATTGGAATCCACCGAAGTGTTAGTTCTGGGATATATTGTTTCTGAATTATTTGATTGGACTGTATTTGTATCCCATATTTGTTTAATCATGTGATTAGATGTCAGGAAATGACTATTTAGATGAATAAAATATGAATCCTATATTTGTTTGGGATATTATGAAGAATGATAAATGATCAAATGATTATTTTACCATTTTTAATTATTTTTAGCTAGATTAAATAAAAATTTATTTTACTAATAGATTTATTTTTTAAAAGTTAAATAAATTAAATATCAAGAAAAATATATGTTATTTTTTTAATTAAAATTTTAAATAAATTTATTTAAAAATAATAATTAAATAAAACATCTGTTAAAATTTAAATAATGAAATTAAATAAAATATAAATAAAATTTTAAAATAAAACATCAATAAAATATCTATAAAAAATTATTTTAAAAAATTAAATAAATAGAACATCAATAAAAATTAAATTAAATTATTTTATTTTTAAATTGAGACATTTAAATTTTATTGAATTTTACTAAATGTAATACATTCAAAATGGTCATTTCACTATCTAATCCTTTATCTCCCTTATCCCCCATTTGTGTCCCACCCCCATGGGACATAATAGTCCAACATATTTTGGACTAATAGTCCAGTACAAAAATTTTGAACCAAACAACAGATTATTAGTCCAGATAGATTATTAGTCCAATTCTATGGCTCAATCTCTCAAAATAAACATCATCTATGAGTAATTGTTAATTGGTAATTTTTGAACCGAGTCATAAATTCGAACGTTTTGGATTCAACTCTTGGTAGTGTCTTTCAAAAGATCAATTTTAATGAACTTTTATTAGTATTATTATTATTATTATTTTATTTTTTTTTGTTGAAAAAATAAAGGATGCATTGATGAAGCGTCCCATAGAGCCGCCCTAGCTAGAGCATGGCCTCCCTTCACATCCTACCTCAAAACCTTAGCGATAACAACCTTTCTAAAGGAATTACATATCAACTTCACATCTTGCAACAGACCAAAAATTGTACAGTCAGCGCTAAATGGTTGAGACCTCTGAAAGAGTAGCTCTAAAAGAGTATTAAATTATTTTTTTTCTCTTTATGTTTTGTCTTTTACTTTTATTTTTATTTTTATATTTTTTATTTTATTTATTTATTTATTTTTATATTTGGTGTAGTGCCAACTCACTAGATCTGTTTTTAGAGCTCTCTATCAAAAAATGTTTTCCTTATTAAGAATTGCACTTAGAAAAAAGACTATCTGTATGTATCAAGAATTTAGAGATTCGCTGATTCTTGCACCAAAGCAGAGCTTCTAAGTACGCCACCGTTCTCTTGCCACCAAAGTAGAGAGAGCATAAAACCCATTGGCTACCTATGTCATTGGGACAATTCTATTTACATACCACTCTTTATCTTATTACAAACCGTTTCTTATTATAACATGTGCAATTTTGAACTTCAATTTTTTTTTGAATTCTTAATTCACACATAAAAAATTAAAAAATACCCTCATCTTTTATATTAGAAACCCTAATCTCCACGCCTCCTATTCTTACCATGTTGGCCACCCAACTGTCGGCGCCACCATAGCTCTCCAACTAATCCCTAACCCTTCCCCTATCACCATCACCCCATCTCCCACCTTCCTTGACCACTCGATATCCCTAGCTCTCTCTTCTCTACTTTAGTGCCATCGCCTCACACCACTAGATCGAGAGAGAGAGAGAGAGAGAGAGAGAGATTGTTAAGGTTTTCAGTGGTCGATCAATAGTGGCATTGGAAAAGATGAATTGTATTTGTTTGTAGGACATTAATTTATTCGGGAGATACAATTATAATCTATATCTATATATATATTAAGAAAAAAAGGGTTTCTAACCCTCAAGCCTTGTGGGAGCTCTAATATCTCAATCTAAATTTTTTGATTTTTTGATTTAAAAAAAAAAAACCTTAACATTTATTAACTTCTCCCAACCCCTAAGCCTTACCTTCATAATAACACTTTAATGTATTAAGAACAAGCATAAAAAAAATTTCCTTGAAAAGTCTAACACATATGATTATTATCTCTCATAATAACACTTTAATGCATTAAGAACAAGTATTAAAAAAAATTCCTTGAAAAGTCTAACACATATGAATTTTTTGAAAAGTCCAACACATATGATTATTATCAAAATATTAAACTTTAATATAAGGAAAAAAGGGGTTTTTAACCCTCAAACCTTGTAGGAGTTTCAATATACCAATCTAAATTTTCTGATTTTTTAATTTAAAAAAAAAATTAGCATTTATTAACTTCTTCCAACCTCCAAGCCTTACTCTCATAATAGCACTTTAATGCATTAAGAACAAGCATAATTTTTTTTTGAAAAGTCCAACACATGAATTCCTTGAAAGTCTCAACATATATGATTATTATCCTTAATAATAACGCTTTAATGTATTAAAAACAAGTATAATTTTTTTTTTAAAAAAATTCAACACATATGATGATTATCAAAAGGGGTTTAATACATATGATTATGATCAAAAGGGGTTTAATTCTTGAAAAGTCTAACACATATGATTATTATCAAAATATTAAACTTTAATATAAGGAAAAAGAGGTTTCTAACCCCCAAACCTTGTAGGAGCTCCAATATCCAAAACTAAATTTTCTGATTTTTTGATTTAAAAAAAAAAAATCTTAACATTTATTAATTTCTCCTAACCCCTAAGTCTTACCCCTCATAATAACGCTTTAATACATTAAGAATAAACATAAAAAAAATTTCTTAAAAAGTCCAACACATATAAATTCCTTGAAAAATCTCAACACATATGATTATTATCCCTTATAATAACGCTTTAATGCATTAAAAAAAAGCATAAAAAAAATTTCTTGAAAAGTCCAACACATATGAATTTCTTGAAAAGTCCAACACATATGATTATTATCAAAATATTAAACTTTAATATAATATAAAAAAGAAAAAAAAAGAAGACATTTAAAAAAAAATTAAAAATCACAATTCACATATATAGAAATAATTGTGAAGTACATATGAATTCCTTAAAAGGTTCAACACATACGATTATTATCTCTCATAATAACACTTTAATACATTAAGAACAAGTATAAAAAAAATTCCTTGAAAAGTCCAACATATGGTTATTATCAAAATATTAAACTTTAATATAATATAAAAAGAAAAAAAAAGAAGACATTTAAAAAAAAAGAAGACAAAGTGGTGAAACACAACCCGTGTATAGCACGGGTGATATGCTAGTTAAGTGTATATCTATGTACTAGTGGGTGGCATACGCAATGCATATGTAATTCAGATAAGTAAGTATAAAAACAAATAATAAAAAAATTAATATTATAATATATATATTATTTAAATGGTAAGAGTGTTCTTAATAAAACTCAAGGTATTGGGTTCAAATCTTACTCATACTTTTGAATAATATTTTTTTATTTTAAGATAAAAAAATTTAAAAAAATTTATCACATAATAGAAGGAGAAGCCACTATAATATTAGATATCAAGTCATATCTTCACATATATAATAGTATAAATAATGATTATGTAATGAGAAAGATAATAGTGTGCAAATAGAAATTTCCATGCGACTGCTGCCTTCAAATTCAATTGCGTCCTATTTCCATCAACCAAAGTAAATGCAACATATGTCAAGTGAACTTTGTTAGAATAGTAAGATGGAGCCTATGATTATTATGTCATCAGGAACTTGAGTAATCCAATCAAAAAAATCATAATAGAAAATACATGAATAATTTTATGTATCATCTTCCAAATGAAAACAAAAAATTGTAAACAGTGCTATATATATATATATTTAAAATTCACTCATTTTATTAATTTAGTGATTTTCTTCATCTTTTAACAGTATTGACTCTTTACAGTCCTTTTGCTTCGTACAAAAGAAATGTAGATATTAGTAAATGACATTGTTTGTTAATTTAATACTTTAAAGTATTGTTTTCTTATTCCACTAAAACATATTAAATTTAAGGATAAATTATAAATATATCCTTAAAGTTTATTTAAAATACGATTTGTCTTTGTAATTATGATAATTACAAATATTTTCTTATTATAATTTTTTATTTTACAGAATTAATAGAAAAAATAAAATTATTAACTATTTCCCTATACAACAATAAAATTATTAATTGAATTTTTTTAATATCATTAAAAATTGTTAATTAACTTAATTATTCATTAATAAAAAGAGTAATTTGTTATGTGATTAAAAAATTGAAGGGAAAAAATATAAATTTTAAAACTACAATGATAATTTATATTTTAAGCAAATATCGATAAATGTATTTATAATTTAGCTTAATTGAATAATTTAAGGGCAAATTACACTTTATCCCCTCAAATATCACTGTTTTTTACTTTATCTCTCAAATTAAAAATTGATACAATATACTCATTTTATCTCCTGAAAATTTTAAATCTAACCCTTATATTTCTATTCTGTTAACAAAGCACACAAAAAAAAGATACATATAATGTGCATATGTGATATTCATGACAGATCTTTAAAGAGTATTTTTGTTATAAATATGATATATACACATTAGATGTATATTTTTGTAATGTATTTTGTCAATAGAATGGAGATATAGATGTATATTTTTGTAATGTATTTTGTCAATAGAATGGAGATATGAATTAAATTGAAAATTTTGAAAAGGATATGTTTTGTTTGTATGGATAAAATGAAAAACAGTGATAATTGAAGGGGATAGTGTAATTTGCTTTTAATTTAACTACACGCAGCGTCGGTTGTACACGGCTTCAGTGACCATCTGATATGCATTTCAAAACCTCGTCATACCGCGGCACTCCAGATCGCAGATCCACACCTCTCTCTCTCTCTCTCTCTCTCTAAAACATTTCTCTCTCCTCAACACGGCGGCGATGGTACCTCCACCGGCGGTCCACGGCGGCTCACCGCCGAACTCCCAGTACATCCAACAGTTCCTGAGCAGCGTCCTCTCCCAACGCGGTCCATCTGCTCTCCCCTACACCGAAGACGTAAAATGGTTGATCCGCCAACACCTGGTCTCTCTCTCCGAATCCTACCCTAGCCTCCAACCCAAAACCGCCACCTACACCCACAACGATGGCCGCACCGTCAACCTCCTTCAGGCCGACGGCACCATCCCCATGCTCTTCCATGGCGTCACCTACAACATCCCCGTCGCTCTCTGGCTCATGGAGTCCTATCCTCGCCACCCTCCTCTCGTCTATGTCAACCCTACCCGCGACATGATCATCAAGCGTCCTCACCCTTTCGTCAACCCTTCTGGCCTCGTTTCAACCCCTTATCTTCAAAATTGGGTTTACCCTAGCTCCAATTTGCTCGATTTGGCTCGCGATTTGAGCCATTACTTCGGCCGCGATCCCCCTCTCTATTCTCAGCGCCGCCCCAGCCCTAACCCTAGCCCTAATTCTAATTTCACCCCACCGGGAACTGGGTCGGTGGCGATTTCTCGGCCCGCGATCCCGCCCCGATCCTATCCTCAGTCTCCCTATGGCGGCGGAAGTGGCGGCAGTGGGAGGATTCCTCCGCCTTCGCCGCAGAGGCCGGGTGTGGGGACTGATGATCCAACCGAGGTTTTTAAGCGGAATGCTGTGAATAAGATCGTGGAGAGTTGCCATTCAGATATCGGGGCTTTGAGGAAGAGGAGGGAGGAGGAGATGGAGGGGTGGTTTAGTGCTCAGGCGGTGTTGAGGCAGAGGGAGGAACAGCTTGGGAGAGGGGTGAGAGAGATGCAAGATGAGAAGGAAGGGTTGGAGCAGCAATTGCAGATGGTTTTGATGAATACTGATGTTTTGGAGGGGTGGTTGAGGGAGAATGAGGAGAAGCTGTTGAATTCGAGGAATGTCGACATTGACGATGCGTTTCAGCCTTGTGATGTTCTTTCTAAACAGATGATTGAGTGTACTGCTTCGGATTTGGCTATTGAGGATGTCATTTATGCTTTGGATAAGGCGGTTCAAGAAGGGTCAATCCCGTTTGATCAGTACTTGAGAAATGTGAGGTCTTTGTCTCGTGAGCAGTTTTTTCATAGGGCAACTACCTCTAAAGTTAGGGCTGCTCAGATGCAAGCTCAGGTTAATAGTATGGCTGCTAGGGCATCGCAATATGCAGTGTGAAAATTCGTCTCCTCGGGTATGCCATAGGGTTCATTGCACGGGACTTCAGGCCAAGTTTCTGCGGTATATCTTGGTTGCCTTTTTGGACAGCTTAAGAATCATATAGTTTTGTGTTAGTCACTTGTGAAAATCTGTCATGAATTTTAGAATGTTCTTAATTGATTTGTATTGATAGCAAAACATGAAAGATACTTTTGTTCTCCTCCAATAAGTGCAACACTTATGTTTTTGGTTTATACTTTAACCAATATCTGTATTTGGGGCCTATTAGTTGATTAGTACATTTCTCTTTTTTATTTTATTGGGAAGTATTTGCAGCATTTCTAAGATAAATTCCTGATTACAGGTTCAGGTCGAGCATGATAATATTGAATAATATCCAAGTTGCAGAATTTGTCAAGATTTTGTTCGTAGTTCATGTTATATTTTATATACATGACTTTGTACTGGCAGTTGTGATTAAAACAATAGTAACTTATCACCACATTATTATATTATATTACTTTGTTGATCATAGCATACTGATTTTGGGTATGAGTGTTGTGCTTGTTTGTATCTTAGTTGGCAAAGCTTAATGGTTCCTTGGTCTGGTGATTACTTTCTTTTGTTGTATGAATATAAACATTCTGTATACAAACATTTGCAGTTGGTTTGAATGAACAACTATAATATAATGTATATTGCTTATCTATTGAATGGGTATATTTCTCTCTTTAGGTTCATTTGATGGTCATTCGTATGAAATGGAATTTTCCTTTCCTTGAAGTTCTTTGAGATGGTGTAAAGAGGTGAAGGTTACATAAGCCATTGCTAGTAAGAGAACGATTCTGTGACATTTTTTGAATAAATAATTTGAGTATCATTCTTGAATGATATTGCACAGCTCCTTGGTATGTGATTGGATTTGGCTACATAATTCTTGTTTTGACATCTTGGTCAATTATGTGAAATAGTTTAATCCCAAAAAGTCAACTAGAAGGAAAATTTTCTGTGTTTTCATCCCTCTGAGTTACAAAGAAAACTTCATTTGACGATTCTCGTTATTGTCATATAAGGTGGTTATTTAGAATTATATGAAAGGAATGGAACTTGGATGCCTTATTTAAAGTTACCGTTTCTTATCAATCAGGCCACCACATAGAGTATTTTTCTGCTCTGCATTCCGCTAATTCAAGAAGCATGTGGGTTTAATTTTTTGAGGAGGTTTAGGCCTCGTTTGGGAAGGCTCTGTTTTAGCCAAAAAGTCAAAAAGTTACTAAATTAGCCAAAAAGCCAATAACCCATACCAAAAAGTCAAAGATTCTCTTTTCTCTCTACTTTTTGCACAGTGTGTGTGTGTGTTTTGTGCACAGGTGTGCCACTTGATTAAGTTCAAGTGTGATACTGTATTACTACTTCCTACTCAAGCCATTGTGTGCAACCTAGGGGCAAGTTGCTGGTTCTTGTTTTGCCTCAATGAATATAATTTAAATATTTCCTAGGTATGAGATAATGAGTGTGAAGGTTGCCATTAATGAAAACGAACAGAATACAACCGAAAGAACTAAGTAAAGCATCTGGAAATGAAAAAGGTTAACCAAACTTATCTCAGTGATGTAGTAGAATAAATAGATTAGGTGTTTATTAAATAGCTTGTTAGTTGTAGTCTATAAATAGGTAATGTAATACCCACTGTACTTAGTTTTTGAAATAAAAGATTATATATTGAGATTGGCGCATAACTTGGTTTCTCTCTCTAACCCTTAGGGGCTTTACTCTTAATTGGGGCATTTGTTTTCCCTCTCTCATTTTAATTCTTGATTTTTATTTGAATTTCATCATTTTTGGTATCAGAGCATTGAGTTTTGGATCCTAACCTTCTAATTTTTCAAGATTCATTACCTTGAAACTGACCTGATTCGATTGCCCACGAAGAATCTCAGTCGCAGCAGCTAGAGATCTCAGATTTCGTTTGAAGTGAACCAAGAATCTGCGAAGGCGACCTCCATTCTCAGTAGCGAACACATTGCCAGTCGGTCTGTGAAGTCAACTTGAGAAATCACATCGCGATTCAAAGTGAAATCGCATCTCCACAACTTCGAATCCAGGTTTAGTTGCAGTTTGACCTTTAACTCTGGGTCAAATCTCGTGTTGCAATCGTTGAATTAGCCTTACGAACCCTAGCCGGTTTGCGATCTCCTGCAAAGCCTTGAATTTGATTTGAATCTGTCTGGAAATCGAAGCCTTCATTTGAGATTCGAGTTCGAAGCCCTAACTTGCTTGGATCTGTTCAGAACCCAGGAGACGACCATTGCGATCTAATCTCTTTGAAGTTCAAAGTCGAAGTCACAATTTGAGTATGCGATCTGACGAACATGAGAATCTCACTTGGTTTTGCCCTAGGTGTCGATCTCGCTAGTCGATTGCGATTTGAGTTTCCTTGCCAAAATTCGAAATCGACCCGCAAGTCTTGGGCGAGACCCGAAAATTGATTCCAGTCCATTCGTATCGATTCAGAAAGCTTCAATGCGTAGTTACGACTCCCGTTCTTCAGATTTCATCGACCTTTGACTTGCGATTTGGAGATTTCAAGATTCGAAATCCTGATTTCAGTTCGTGACTCCATAGTGTGCTTCGATTAGGACTTTAGTTCTTTAGGATCGACTTCGATTTCCCAACTTCAATTCAATTCTTAGTGGATTTTGATTTCTTCGAATCTCCATTTAGAGTGTTATGGATTTGCTGATTCAGTCCTTCGTAGCCCTAGTGGGAAGTTTACAGATTTTAGAACTTCAATTGTACTTCTGATCTATTCTTGGATTCTTGGTATTGTGGTCTGAATTGTGAACTGTTGGTGTCCATCTTTGATTGAGGACTGGGTTTGCCAATATTTCGATATTGTGCGACATTCAATTTTGCTATTATGTCTAAGTCTTGTTGAGTCTTCTTGGCATTGTGTTAGTGTACTGTGAATCGATTTGCTGCAGTATCTGAGACAAATATTTTACTGCGAATTTGGGTGAAGATATTGTGATGAAGGTCTCAATTGGAAGGAGCAATGATGATAATTCAAATCAAACTTATGATCAAAGAGATGAGTTGAAACAAATGAGTAACAAATTGTGCCTTGGATTAGGTACAACGATATTTTTGAAAGCTTCGAAGAGTTTCTTTGAAGTGGTATTCAACATTGTTTGAAACTTTATTGTTGGGACTCCTTTCATGCCTCTTTTGGACATTGGCTTGAGTTGAGTAAGCTGATGGAAGTGATGCTTATTTGCCGGTTGTGTCTAAGGGATAGAAGGAATAATACGATGCAGAATTCTCACTCTTGATTAGCTTCTCATACATGGTTCTTACCTAGTGGATGAATACTTGATCCTTTCATTTCACCGTGGCTTTGGAAACTATCCTTTTGCTAGTATGTTGGTCTCATTTCGATTCTGCACCAGTGTGCCAATCAGAGATGAAGGCTCAGGAAAATGGAGGTTTGTCCAAGTTTTAGCAAGAGTGTATGGAGGGCATGATGGGGGTTATCGGCATGCACCTATGGTTGTTTAGCTAAGGATGTAATTACATGTATTTAGGGAAGGATGAATTGAGAGTGGTATGTTTGTGTTGAACATGGAGATGCAGCGCCTATTCCTCGCTTCAAATTCAATGCATGGTGTTACATTTAGCACATTTTGTTGCTACTTAAGCTTGAGGACAAGTTTCTTAAAAAAAGGGAGAGTATGATGTAGGAGAATAAATAGATTAGGTGTCTATTAAATAGCTTGTTTGTTGTAGTCTATAAATAGGTGATGTAATACCCGTTGTACTCAGTTTTTGGAATAAAAGAATAAGAATATACATTGAGATTGGAGTAGAACTTGGTTTTTCTCTTTAACCCTTAGGGTTTTCACCCCTAATTGGGGCATTTGTTTTCCCTCTCTCAATTTGATTCTTGATTTTCATTTGAATTTCATCACTTAGAAACTAAGTATTGAAGCCAAGTACCAAAAAACATTTGAAGGAAAATGAATGGACATAGTTTTGGTCATTAGTTGTGCATGCATAAAGAGAGAAATTCTGTCAATACTTGGCTTTTATAGCTGCCGGCAATGGCCATTTCTAGCCATGTCGCTACCACTGCATTGTCTGCCACACAGGTGTCCCATGACTCTCCCCGTCATGCTCTTTTCCGCACACACCATCTGCAAGGCCAGGCTTTCTGGAACTGCCATGTGTCCCCACTGCACATGTTAATGGGTTTTGCTGCTGAAGCAAAGTTCCATCGTTACTCCACGCTATCTTAAATACATGTGAGAGGTTTAAGAGATGTGATAAGTCCATACCCAACTACTTCATCTTCTTGTATCCATGTCCCTATTATTTAGGTATCATTTCAAATGAGTGTTATCTTGGACAAACATTAAACTATTCGTTCTGGATGACCAGCTTAGCCCACCAGCAAAAAACAACGCGTCCCACCTCATTGGATTGTTGGCCCATGTGGCAAACTGTCACGGGGCTGTCATTTTGGGGTGTAAATGTAAATACAAAGTTAGTGAAAGTTGATCTGAGTCTTGAAAATATCATGTTCAACACTTGAAGCTTAAAGTATCATTCACAGTGTGTGAACTAATATTCTTTGCTTTGTAAAGAGCAATAGTTGTCTTTTGTTCTTGTCTCCCATTTCCATATCGTCTTCATATCCAATCTGTTTGTTTCTAGAGTCATCATTGGGGCTTGGGATTCATATTTAGATGTGCTTATTAAGTCATTCACTATTGTACTATGTTACATGGACTCTTCTAACTGTGTGTAAGTATTATGTTGGAATTTCTATTCTTGGACTTCCAATCCTTGAATAGATAGGGGTATGAGATATTTCTGACATGTTTTGGGATATTTAAATTGCAAGTGTATTTAGGAGTTTTAGTTTATCATGTAATTTTGCCTAGAACTTCCATGCTATATATGAAATGCTTTCACCTTGTAAGCACTATGAAATATGAATAATTTTCCATGTTGACATGAGAATTAGAATAATCCGACACTACACATCTGCACATGATGCCCAGACCCAAGTCTGTGAACATAGCTGTCCTATCAAATGTTCGGTACTTGGCTGGTGTCAATAGCTTATTTACTCAGCCTTCGTGGGTTATGTTGTTGCTCCCTGAAAACTGAGCATAATAGGATATATCACATGGTGGGTGACCACTGTAGTTTGATGCAAAGTTGATGGTTCATACATTCTTCAACACTACTTAATTGTAAAGTTTGTCTTGGATCCATTAGCTGAACTAGAAATTGCAATTTTCAAGAATCTTGGTTATCTCATAGATCATGTAGTCAAAATATGACTTTAATATATTGTAGCCACTCTTGAGCTGCTAGTCATATTATTTGTGGAGCATTAGGTAACCTTTCGAGTCATTTAAGAAGTTTTGAAATTGTTGTTGTATTTTATTTTGTTTCCCTTTTTTGTGCGCTGGGCCAGGGGGATTCAGTAGATACAAGCCCCTAGACTGATGATGACAGCAGCAATGGAGTCAAATTCATAATCTGACGTTGAAAATGATTCTTACTGAACAAGCTCTTGAACATGTGAGGATGGCTTCATTGGGTATACTTTAATGTAAATCCCTGTGAAGTATTTGTCTATGATTTGGTTTGATGAACCAGCACTTGCAATTTCAGGAGTACATGGATGTTATTGCTAAGGTTTTTTTTTTTGGTTCTCTGGAGTTGTTGCCAGTCTACCATTATTTTACTCGAACATTTCTTTTATTTTCTTACTTACCATTCTTGTTTGCTTCTTTTAATTCCGTATTTGCTATTATTCTGATTAATTTCAAATATACTGGAAGTTTTATTTAGCCTTGTAATACATGGGGTTGAATAGGATTTCGTTTCATTAGTTTCAGTTGCGCACGCCATCTTGATCTATTGGCGTGGGGTTGAATAGGATTTAGTTTGATAGTTTTCAGTTGTATATTTCATGTTGATCTATTGTGGGCTGTCTGTATTGAGATCCTAGTTTCTTTTGCCTTCCCTCCCCGGCCCCCAAGCTCGACTGGGTTGTTCTGTGCTGAGCTTGAACAGGTAAAGCCAAGCTTGTTCTTTAGCCCAAGCTGAGCCACAATGGGGTTGATCTTGATTGAACCTGAAGCAGCCCAATACTCAGCTAGGCTCGGCTCAGCTCACATTGTTGCGGCTTTGTAATTGCCAAGGGCCTGTGACAAACCATGGAAAACCTTGGGGGAGACCTCACCAAGCGACCAATTTAATCCGTCTTAAGTTTACATGTGATGAGATTCCTATTTTTTTCCCTTTGAAGAGAAGATTGAGAACTTTAAAAGATTCCTATGTTGCCTTTGAAAGGTTGCATTTTGGTGGAATATTACCCAATCTATGTTAGGTGAGTAATGGTTTGAAATGACGATAAAGAGAACTCTCTTTTGCGTATTTCATTTCTTAGCGTGAGTGATGAGATTTGGTGATAAATAAGCTCGGATTAGTAGTAAAATAATTAAAAAACCGGGATTGTCTTTTAATAAAATAATTAAAATACCGGGATTGTCTTTTAAAATACAAATGCGTAAAATAAGAATTTCACTCATATTCTTCTTTCATATGTTTTGATTTCTTACCTATACAAACATAATAATTTTTTTCCGTTCTAAGTGAGGGATTACAATAATTTATTTTCCTTTCTCATCACATGATCGGATCATATTGTTAATCTCTAGCTTACATAAACTTTCCAAGAGTTAGCAAACACTCTTCCACCAAGTATTTCATTTAAAAAGGACTAAAAATTGGAACTCCCAAAAAAAATTTGTTGGTTTGAGTTTTCTTTTACACCCAAACACAAGAAATTATTCAATGTTTGGAGCAAATTCTAGTGATACTCCATAGTGGTAATTATCAGTTTAAATTATAGGACACATTACTTTTATGTCAGAGTTATATGAGACAATTGATTAAATGTTAATCTGTAAATGGAATAGAGTTTAACGAACACTCAAAAATCCTATTACAATTGAAGAGAGAGAAATTGATTTAATTAATTTAATTAAATGAGTGACACAATAATCCAAGAAATTGATTTAATTAATTTAGTTTATTAATATTGACAAAAAGGACAACTTCATAGTAGACAAGGAGTTGATTTGACCAATGACGGCACTTGAGGTGCATTAATTTGAAAAATCAAATGGGGCCATTTTTAGATTTGTAATTCCATTAATTGGAGTAATTTTTATAAATAAATAGAATATATATTATGTGATATCTTTTATTATTATTATTGATTTTAACAGTATAATTCATTATATTTATACTGAGTGTTTAGGAAATAATACAAAACATATACATTTGTGATTAGTAGAAAATAGTGTCACGTAATATCCTATTGACATATAAAAATTTCTTCTCTTTGTGGCAAGAAATTATCTAATTTGTTATCCCCTCAAATACTATATGGAGGTCTAATCAATAGAATTTTATTATTTGTTTGTATTATTATTTTTGTCCATGTAACCATGCCACTAACTATAGAATTTAATTTTTTTAAATTTTATTACTATTATTATTTATTTTTTACAACAAGATTGCTAGATAGAAATATGGTGACATGAACTAGGGTGGGCAACATTCAATCGTCTTGCCTAATCCGTCAACACAATTCAATCCGGCTTTAAATATGTAGCTTTGATAAAACGAGACAAATAACATGGATTTAACAATTTTAAAACGTATAATTTTAAGGTTATTTTGGAAAAACTTAAATAAATAGTTTTTTAAATTTTCAGAAATAAGCTAAAAACTACTTATTTGATGCATATTTTCTTTTGGTAAGATTCAAATACGCCATGACACAAATTTAACGAAATACTCCCATATAAACAACAAAATTTGCCAATAAATAAGAAGGGTAAAATGATAATTTCAAAAATATGCATGAGGGTAATATGGAAATTTCATAATTTTCACAAATAATGTGATCCCACATTATAATAATTTATAAAAAGCAAAAAAGCAACCCAAAAAAATAAAAATAAAAAAATCCCAAATGAATTTATAAAAAAGCCAAAAAGCAACCAAAAAAATACTATTTTTTTCTATCTTCCCAAAACAGCTTTTAGTTTTTTATTTTTTGAACAAAACAGCCTTTAGTTAGATAGTAGATATATAAGTTTCAATTTGCAAAATCTGATTGTACGAGCAAGAAATATGCCTCGCATGTGTATTTCTTGTAATCAAGCTTGCTCTTCTTCAAATGACGTAATGTGACTTGAAAACACAGTTCCGACAAGTTTATTGGCGGGTGTGTGCCGAAAAACTTAAGTTAGAACTCTTAAAATCAATATAAGAAAAACTCTCAAGTATTATGTGAGTAAAGTTGCGTTATCTCGTTCTAGGTTTTCTCTGAGCTTTTATATATTGTGAAAAATAGAATCCTAGTAGGATTCTAATTCTTCTTCATAGAATCCTATCAAGAGTTCATTTTTTGAAGGATAAAGTTCATCTTTTAATACCCTTATCACCAAAATCCCAGTGAAATGGCCTAACTTCCATGCTAGCAACCGAGCTAAACAAACCACTAGCCTGGTTGCATAGGTTGAAACTAACTCCAAATAAGAATGTCGAGCAAAACATTACACTGTGCTAACCTTGCTCAGCAAACCTTTGTCAAGTTAAACATATCGATTAAAGACTTAGCATAACCTTTCAACCCCGATCAAGAACTTAACATGCCTTTCTGCACGGTTAACATCATATATTGTTTGTCTGGTTGATACTTGCATGACGTTTCCAGGTCGACATCCAAGTTCCTTTTGCCCGATCAACATCTAAGCATCGTTTACTCGGTCCAACTGATTAAGCCTAACAATATCCATTTGCAAGTTCGTCAAAGTCAAACCTAATAAGGGTCGTTTGTAAAGTTGCTAGAGTCAAACCTAACAAAATATGTTTGCAAGGTCGCTAGAATTAAGCCAATCAAAATCCGTTTGCAAATTCGTCAGAGTCAAACCTTTATGGGCTCTACTCGGCCCATCAGTCTGGTAGAAATTTCCATCTTACTAACCATATGAAATTAATAAAAGGGAAGTGATTGAGACCCCCTCCAATCACCACCTCCTACACACACGTGGCGGGTGGTGATTGGAGGAGAAGGAAAAAAAAAAAAAAAAAATTGGCCAATCAAAAAGAGAGGGGGTCAAAAAGAGATGCCTCATTGAGGGAGTTCAACTCATTTTTCTTAATAAAAAAATAAGATTTTTTTTAATAAAATTAGAATTTGTCTAATTTGTCGACCCAAACCATATTCACCCATCAAACCGTCTAATCATCTCAATCGATTTCAAAACCATAAGTAATGAGATTTTTCTAAATCAAACCCCATTTGATCGAATGGCCAATGTTTCCAACCCGACCCGCAAATACCCTTGACATGAACAGAGAGAGAGAGAGAGAGAGAGAGAGAAGCACACGGCAACATGTATAACTAACCGTCTGCTTCATGTCTAATCCGTCAATTTGATCAATTCCTCGAAAAGCCAAGACTCCCTCAATCAGCTTTAATGAGCTCACAACTATTGCCCACCACCACCACACCTCTCTCCACCACCACCATACCACCACCACTCTCACCACCCCACACTTCCCAAAGAACCCACATCCCAACCCATGTCTACACCCATCCTTCAGCTATCCTCCTCGAGCTCTGCACTTCCATGAAAGAACTCCACCAATTCATCCCCCCAATCATCAAGCACGGCCTCTACAATGAGCACTTGTTCCAGACCAAGCTCGTCAGCCTCTTCTCCAAATTCGGCAGCTTAATCGAAGCCTCTCGTGTTTTCGAACCCATCGAACACAAAATCGATGCTCTTTACCACACAATGCTCAAAGGGTATGCTCAGAATTCCTCTTTAGACAATGCTTTCTCGTTCTTTTCACGAATGAACTATGATGGTGTTCGACCCGTTATTTATAATTTTACGTATTTGTTGAAAGCTTGTGGGGATAATTCGGATCTTAGAAAGGGTAAGGAGGTTCATGGACAGTTGATTGTTAATGGGTTTGAGTCGAATTTGTTTGCCATGGCTGGCGTTGTGAATTTGTATGCGAAATGTAGGTTGGTTAATGAAGCATACAAGATGTTTGATAGAATGCCCGAGAGAGATTTGGTTTGTTGGAATACTATTATTGCTGGGTATTCGCAGAATGGGTTGGCGAAGAGAGCCTTGGAATTGGTTATTCGGATGCAAAATGAAGGGCATAGGCCTGATCAGGTCACGATTGTCACGGTTTTACCTGCTTGCGCTGATATTGGGTCCTTGAAAACTGGAAAATCAATTCATGGTTATATTGTGAGAAGTGGATTTGAATCGCTTGTGAATGTGTTAACTGCTTTGGTTGATGTGTATTCAAAATGTGGGTGTGTTGGGGCTTCTCGAATGATTTTTGAAAGTATGCAATACCGGACTGTGGTTTCTTGGAATTCGATGATGGCTGGGTATACCCAAAATGGGGATTCGAAGGAAGCATTGGCACTTTTCGAGCAGATGTTGAATGAGGGGGTAGAACCGACCAATGTCACGATTATGGAAGTTTTACATGCTTGTGCTGATTTGGGTGACATTGCAAAAGGGCAATTCATACATAAATTAGTACATCAATTGAACCTTTTGTATGATGTTTCCGTGATGAACTCTCTCATTTCAATGTATTGCAAGTGTAAACGAGTTGACATTGCTGCTCAAATATTTGCAAATTTACAAGGTAAAACACTCGTGTCCTGGAATGCCATGATATTAGGGTATGCGCAAAATGGGCATGTAACCGATGCCTTAAATCACTTTTGCAAAATGCACCAGAAAAATATTAAACCAGATTCGTTCACAATGGTCAGTGTGATTCCCGCACTTGCTGAGTTGTCAGTTCTACGTCAGGCAAAATGGATCCAAGGACTTGTGATAAGGTCTTGTTTGGACAAGAATGTTTTTGTGATGACTGCTCTTGTGGACATGTATGCAAAATGTGGCGCTGTCAGTACTGCAAGAAAGTTGTTTGACATGATGGATGTGCGACACGTAACGACCTGGAATGCTATGATAGATGGTTATGGTACACATGGGCTTGGAAGAGCTGCTGTAGAATTGTTCAGCGAAATGCGAAAAGGGGCTATAAAGCCAAATGATATAACATTTCTATGTATTATTTCAGCTTGCAGCCACTCAGGTCTTGTAGAAGAGGGGCAAAACTGTTTCACCCTCATGGAGGAACGTTATGGCATAAAGCCTTCGATGGATCATTATGGAACCATGGTTGATCTACTTGGTCGAGCTGGAAAGCTCAATGAGGCTTGGGATTTCATTCAAAATATGCCTATAGAGCCCGCAATTAATGTTTTTGGAGCCATGCTGGGTGCCTGCAAGATTCATAAAAATGTCGATTTTGGGGAGAAAGCAGCTAACAAACTGTTTGAACTAGATCCTGATGAAGGTGGTTATCATGTATTGCTTGCTAATATATACGCCAAAGCTTCGATGTGGGACAAAGTGGCGAAAGTCAGAGTTGACATGGAGAGGAAAGGACTTCAGAAAACGCCTGGTTGTAGTTTAGTGGATTTAAGAAACGAGGTTCACACATTTTACTCTGGGAGCACGAGGCATCCTCAATCTGAGAAGATCTATAGTTATCTTGAAACGCTTATTGATGATATCAAAGTTGCCGGTTATGTGCCTGATAGTAATTCCATTCATGACGTGGATGAGGACGTTCACGAGCAGTTGCTCAACAGCCATAGTGAGAAGCTTGCTATTGCATTCGGGCTTCTGAATACCAACCCAGGTACAACTATTCACATTAGGAAGAATCTTCGGGTCTGTGGGGATTGCCACAATGCGACAAAGTACATTTCTCTTGTGACTGGACGGGAAATCGTTGTGCGTGATATGCACCGGTTCCACCATTTCAAGAGTGGAAGTTGCTCATGTGGAGATTATTGGTGAATGAATAGGTCAAAGTCTTGATTCTTGGGAGTTGCAACACTATGTTTGGTGGAGATTTTTCAGGGAAAATAGAATTTTTGATGAATCATCACAATGTCAAGCTCAACCCTAAATTTGTCAAACTTTGAAGCCTTGAATACCAGAGGACACAGAAGGTTTAACAATCTCTGGCCAATATACAACCAGGCATATTTGATTAGTAGGATTATAGTATATGATTAGAATATGGGCCCAAAATCTTATATTTAATTGTAAATTTTATTATCCAAATTACATGTACGGCGAACATTCAATCCAATGAAATCGGTAAATTTTTAATATTGAGAGGGCCCGGGGATCATAATTTCGAGAACTGGAAAGATGTGTAGCCATGAAAGAAGGATTAAGTTAAACAAATTTGACTGAGTGGTCGAGCCATGGAAACACTTCTTATGGATCCATGAATCTATGTGTCTATATATAGATCCTGTTTATGGATTAATGCAAATGTACAAAAGCTCTAATTGCCTTTGTCATTCTATGGCTTTCTTCCTTTTTGCATATGGCCTCGCCACTCCCCTTGGCAACATTCACTAATTCGAAACTTAATTTGAAGGCCATATTTCGACCCAGACGTTTTGAGGATGCTGTTAATAATCAATGAATGACAAGTGTTTTTCCTTGTGTGGATCCTATTTCAATGGGAACTTGATGAGTTGATTCACTTATACCTCTTGCTTTTATTGTTATATTGGGAGTTACTCCATGTATTACTTGACGTAAAACATTTGTTGAATCTTTTTCATGGCTCAATATTTGAATTCTAGATGTAGATGCTACATAGTTGGTTCTCATGCATGTCCATGGAGTTTTGAAAAATTCAAACATTTCAGAGATAGCTAGAGAGGTAGGAATTTATCGAATGAACGACACTCCTTCGTATACGTCAGGAATCCATTGATGAGAAGGGTCTGGGGAAAGCTTGAACCCAATTCCTATAATAATGAATATGAGTGCAATGACTGATTTTTCAATCTTTTCAACTTTGGTTCCATAGGAGCAAGTTAGAAAGATTGAGAAATAGAACCATCTGATTTGATTTGTTCTCAATAGCCATAAGATGATCATATTAGGGTGATTAGCAAAATAAAAGCAGAGAGTAAATAAGACACAAGACAACAACATAATCATAAAAAATCTATAACAAAAAAATAAAAAAAATTATCTGTTTACCCAGTTTTCTACTTTCTCCGAAAAAGATAACAGCAACCTTAGAGTAAAGTACTCCAATGGCGCTGGATAGCACAATCACAAGTGGTTTCCACCACTTTGCTGCATTAACAATAACCATTTTTAGTTATTGGAGGAATCACATGATGCCATATTTAAGTTATTATATTGAGTGCTGCTATTAGCACTTACCAAAATTCTTTGGACTCCCCATTTCTTTGAACCCCAACCCTAAACCTTAAATTTTAATAATATTTTTTTGGACACCCCACTTATTACCAAATCTACCCATAATCATAATATTTTCACAATGAAATGCACGCTGTAACAAGCCCGCGGCCCTTTCCTTCCCTGACTCACTCAATCTTTAGAGTTTGGAGCTTTGGTCCAGTATAGAATTCTTGGACCCCAACCCTCTATCACTCTCGTCGCGGTCTCGGCTGTCAACGGAGCATTCCGATGACTCCCATCCTCTCATCATCATTCACAATGAAATGCACGCCCACCTAATTTTTCATCCCTTTCCTTCCCTGACTCACTCAATCTTTAGAGTTTGGAGCTTTGGTCCAGTATAGAATTCTTGGACCCCAACCCTCTATCACTCTCGTCGCGGTCTCGGCTGTCAACGGAGCATTCCGATGACTCCCATCCTCTCATCATCATCTTCTTCGTTGCTTTTTGTATCTTCGTCATCGCTGAGATCGATCGAAGATACTCCAATTTCTACGGAATTTGCATAATCATTTGCAAGATGAGGAAAAACAGAATCATCGTCTGAATCGCCATCAGAATTCTGAATGTAGCCCAAAACAATTTGTTCACCATTGTGTAGCCGAAAAAATGTATTTTGTTCAGAACTGTTTTGTCGAACAATGATGATCCTGTCAGCACTGTATGTCCGAACAAAATTTGTTCATCACTGTGTAACTTGAATCCATTCCAATTCACAACTTAAAATAACATGAATTAAATCCATTCAAAATATATAACTTAAATCCATTCCAATTCACTTTTTTCCATTCTAAGTTAGTTTAACAAAGAAAATTACATAACTGACTATCTACATTAATGTTCGGAACATATGTATTGAACGAAAGGATTATGTTCAGTACTGTATTACCGAACATAATTCTAACAGTTAGCAAACCAGTACCGAACAGCTCGAACGAAACAAGAACGACCGAAAACGACTGAGAATGTTAATACAAGACAGATAAACTTATTAATGGAACGCCGGTCTCACTAAAATTGTTGTCCTCGTCCTCCATTGCTCTACACAGTGAAATAAGTGATGAAGTATATGTTATACTTGAAGCAAAACTTTCAAGTTCAATAGCGTTGATGATGGTGATGAAGATGACACATTCAGGATTTAAGATGATTATGAAAAATAATAGATTTAGGGTTTATATTAGTTGGTTATGAAAAGTAATAGATTTAGGGTTCGCAAACATGGAATACGTATAGTTGAAGTTGGAGTTGGAGGTGGGAGTGGGGGTGGGTGTCCAATATTATAGAGTATTTTAGTTCTTATTGATAGGTGGGTGTTCTATTTAACAATGTCTTTTAATGTAATTTTACTTTAAGGTATAATTGTAATAAAAAAAATTATAAAATGGGGGGTCCAAAGAATTTTGACAGGTGCTAATAACAGCGCTCATTATATTTTAAGTGCAAATATTACAAAACTAACCTTTTCCATGAATACCATATATTCTGTGACTGACATCCCATGCTAGCTTGATACCGGGTGTGAAATCTGGGATAAGATAGCATTCACGACATCCGATGTCGGTCACACAATATGATATTCATTCAAGTGGAATAGGTTAGTTTCATACTCGAAATCATGAAATCTGTGGGCTCGTGAAATTTCCAGAATTTAATAAAAATATATACTTAAATTTTGTTCAGTTGTTCTTGAACTTAAGACATATGAAACTTAGTTTCAACCTACCATCCCTATGGATGGCAGGTTTCGCAGAGGCATCTGGAAATGGGAAATTGCAGTTGGGCAACCAGATGGCACCTCCTAAGTCCAAAAAAATTTCAAAGTATTGGCTCACCATACTAATTCCTAAATATCTATCAGTAGAAAATTTAGAACTGAAATATTGTAAACAGAGATTACATTTTCCCAATCATAAAGCTCCTTCACCTTGGATGAGAGTTTTTTATTTGAATGACAAATTTTGAAGAGTAAAAAGAACAAAATAATAAAAACGTTAATCAAGCTAATTTTTCCAATAGTAGCCATTGAAAAAACAAACAAAAATAAGTAGTGACTGAAGGAGCCAACCCCCCACCAGCACAATATTGTCTGCTTTGGGTGGACCCTCACGATTTGTTCTTTTCTTAGGAAAAGGCCTTGGGCTAGTTAGAAGGAGTTTGTTGTTTTGGTGGTGCAGAGATCAGTGTTTGGGACTATGGATTTGCAGATTGTTTTGTCTGGTGTTCTGGTTTTGATCAAAAGAAGAAAAGAGTTACATATGAGGATTTGATAGAGAGAAGATGCACCATTTTTGCAAAATCTTGAAATGTTTATTTTCCTTTCCAATTCTAAAGGTTATCGCTAATTTTATTTTATTTTTTTTGGTGTTTTATGGAAGATTGGCACTCATATTTATCAACTACCACTAATTGTGTAAAGAGTAATGTTAGAGATCTTAAAAATTTTATTAAAATTTTTACTAAATGTTTCACATGGATATGTGACCCATATTGTGTGAGTCTCATGTGGGTCCCACACCCATGTAAGACATTTGGTAGAATTTTTGAAATCTCTAACATTTTTATAATGTAAATTATTCTTTCATTTATGTCATTTGACTTTGGGATTTTTGACTGGATACTCTTAAAGGCCTATTTTAGAACCCGTTTTATAATTTGAACATTCATTTTTTAAAGTACATCGAGTAAAATATACTAATAAAAAATTAAATTGATCGAATATCGTTAACTCTTTCATCTACTCACATTAATATTCAGTTTTATACTTTAAATCACATTTATCATTTATTTTTGTAGATACAAATGTAATTCGATAAAATAGTTAACAATGTCCAATCAATTTATATTTCTGCTGTTATATTCAACTTTATATACACTTAAAAGTGAACGGTTTAAATCATCAAAACGAACTCTTAAATGAACCTATATGGCTTCACAACAGTGACTCTGTGCAGGCAGCCATCCCATTTTCCTTCAAACCTTCTTTTCTCTTGAAATGTATAATGAGATAAATGAGAATTTGAGAGAGAGAAAGACGCACCATTTTTGCAAAATCTTGAAATGTTTATTTTCCTTTCCAATTCTAAAGGTTATTGCTAATTTTATTTTATTTTTTTGGTGTTTTATGGAAGATTGACACTCATATTTATCAACTACCACTAATGGTGTAAAGAATAATGTTAGAGATTTCAAAAATTTTATTAAAATTTTTGCTAAATGTCTCACATGAATATGTGACCCATATTGTGTGAGTCACATGTGGGTCCCACACCCATGTAAGACATTTGGTAGAATTTTTGAAATTTTTACTGATGGCTTACTGGTAGCTTGATTTAGGAGAATTTAAGCATAAGAACAGTTAAATAAATTGAAGCATTTCATTAGTATGAAAAACTTACAATGATCTCAGCCTCGTAAAGATTTACAGTGGCAATATACTCAAAGACTACTCCTACAAATGAAGTGCAGTGCAGGAATTTAAAGTACAGAAATGTAAAGAACAGGAATTAAAACTGGGATATGTAAAGTAAGACTGGTTTTCTTTTGATCTTTTTTCGGGGCCTTCTCTGAAGTCCTTCCTGCGATTTATATTCTTCAAAGATAACCATCGAACTGCACTTCAAACCGTTGAACTGCTCCTCCGTGATCGCTGATCATGCTACATTATAAGTAGTTCCACTACGCCTTCACTTGCAGTTAGGCTTCCCTCCTATATTTGAATTTGAATGTGAGTAACCGTTGAAGCCACGTCACCTTGCATCTCTTTGTTGATCCGATGCTACTCAGATCTTATAACAACCAATATTAATTGCCACGTGTATGATCAGGATCGAAGACTTGACTTGTCTCCCCATAGTACCCTTACTTCGCCACGCGTCGAATTG